GACAGTTTTTTTCCTAGTGCCCATGATCTATCTAGTCTCAAGTTCTTGACCATTTTATCAGTGTCAGGTATGGGTTCAAGCTCATGAAGTGAGCCTTAAATTAAAAAAAAAAGTGATTGGTTTCTCCCATAACATTTCTGCCACAATTGCACCAGTGTACCTTGCAGGCAGGTCGCTATTACAGGTCACAGATTTTGTATCTGGGTGATACTGATGATAACTTTTTCCTCCTGTAGCATACAAAATACCTTCTATTGTGATGAACAGTAGGGGCAAATCTTCTAATTGGGTGCCAGCTTGATTTCTTTATGGTCATTGATATTTTGGGGTATCTATAGGATCCCTTTGGTCAATGACTCAACAATAGGTAGCCCATCCCTGGCACTGGGGGTTTTACTTGGTGGCATAGAATGCCTATCTGAGGTACTGTCTCTCCATTATATGGTGACTCCATTTAGATTCCTTTCATAAATGAATATATTTTAGGAAATTTCCACAGTGGTAGATTTCCACATAGCTTTTCAAAAGGCTTTTAATATTAGTTGTGCCTCTCCACATTCCCGTCTTCCTTTTTTAAATATATATTTACTATTTACATTCCCTTTTTTATCTTGCCTTCCCACCCCTGCCCACTTTTATCCTCCTATTCATTTCCTGTCATCTCTTTATAACACTACATCCAATTTCCCCTTCCTTGGAGGGCCCCTTCTGTCCCCTGGCCCTTACTATCTACTTAACCTCTGTGGTTATTTGGACTAGAAGGCATATATCTAAAGATTAAAAGCTAATACTCACATATAAGAGAAAACATGAAATATTTGTCCTTTTGGGTCTGGGTCACCTCACTCAGGATGATTGGTTTTACCTGAAAATTTATAATGTCATTTTTCTTAACAGATGAGTAATATTCCATTGCATGAATGTACCACATTTTCATTATCTACTCATTCAACTGATGAACATCTATGCTGTTTCAAATTTCTGCCTATTATAAATAGAGAAGTAATGAACATGGATGAGCACGTATCTCGGTAGTAACATGTAAAGTCCCTTGGATACATGTCCAAGAATGGCATAGTTGGACCTTGTGGTAGAACAATTTTCAGCTTTTAATGGAACCTCTCTGCACTGACTTCATAGTAGTTGTATCAGTTTGCACTCCCACAAAAGCAATAATGTGCTTCCTTTCCCCCTCATACTCACCAGCATGTGCTGTCACTCGTTTTATTGATCTTGGCCATTCTGACTGGGGTAAGATGAAATCTCAAAGCAGTTTTAATTTGCATTTCCTTGATTGCTAAGGATGTTAAAATGTTTAAAGTGTTTCTTAGTGTGTTAATTACTTTTCTATTACTGTGCTAAGACACCATGACCAAGGTATAGTTTCAGGGGGTTAGAGTGCATATTGGCAGAGCAAAGAGATGGAGGCAGGAACAGTTGAGAGTTTATGTTTGATCTACAAGTACGAGGCTGAGAGAGTGAGAATGAGAGAGAGAGAGAGAGAGAGAGAGAGAGAGAGAGAGAGAGAGAGAGAGAGAGAGAGAGAGAGACTGAGAATCCCATGAGTCTTTTGAAATCTCAAAGCCTGGTCCAAGACACACCTCTTCCATCAAGACCATACCTCTTATTCCTTCCCAGTTCCACCAACTGGTGGCCAAGTACTCAAATATAGAACCTATGTGGGCCATTCTTATTCAAACTGTCACACTCAGCCATTTGTGTTTCAATCTTTTGAGAACTGTTTAGTTCTATTTCCTATTTTAAAATTTGCTTTTTTTTTTAGTTCTTTAGTATTTAGTTCTCAGTACTAATCCTCTATCAGATGTAAAATTGGTAAAGCCTTTCTCCATTCTGTAGGTTGCCTCTTTGTTCAAATGATTGTGTCCTTTGCTGTAAAGAATTTTAGCTTTATGAGGACCCATTCATTAACTGTTAGTGACTGATTATTGGTGTCCTGTTCAGAAATTCCTTGCTGTGCCAATTAGTTTAAGACTAGTCTCTATTTCTCTTCTACCAGATTCAGGATATTTGGTATTATGTTGAGATCATTGAGACCTTTGGAGTTGAGTTTTGGTGCAGAGTACCATATATGGATCTATTTAAATTCTTCTATATGCAGCTATTGTTTGACCAGCACCACTTGTTGAAGATGCCATCTTTTCTCCAGTATGTATTTTTGGCTTTTTTTTTTTTTGTCAAAAATCAGGTTTATTTAAGTGTATAGAGTAATGTCTGTGTTTTCAATTCCATTCAATTTATCAACATGTCTGTTTTTATGCCAATATCATGTTGTTTTTATACTATAACTGTAGTTATAGTATAACTGCTGATACCTTCAATAGTTCTTTAATTATTCAGTATTGTTTTAGATATTCTGTTTTTGTGTGTGTGTGTTCCCATATGAAGAGAAAATTTGTTTTTGTAGTTTCTGTGAAGAATGGTGTTGGAATTTTGGTGGGGATTGCATTGAATCTGAAGATTACTTTTGGTAGGATGACCATTTTTACAATATTAACACTATTGATCCATAAGTATGAGGGATCTTTCCATCCTTGGTATATTTTCCAGTTTGTTTCTTCAATGTATTAAAGTTTATAGTACACAACTCTTTCACTTGCTTGGTTAGTTACCCCTAGAGTTTTTGAAGCTATTGTGAAATGTATTATTTTCCTCATTTCTTTCTCTGTGTCTTTGTAATTTGTAAATAGGAAGGCTCCTGTAATTTGTATCTTGCTACATTGCTGAAACTGTTTATTGCTTTAGAAGTTTAATGTATAAAACTATATCATCTGCAAATGCAGATGACTTAGTTCTTTACTATCCCCTTGATCTCTTTCAGGTGTCTTATTGCTCCATCGAAGATTTCAAGTACAGTATTTAATAGGTATGGAGAGAGTGGACATCCTTGTCTTGTTCCTGATTTTAGTGAAAATGTTTTGAATTGGGGATTATAGTGGCTGTGAGCTTGCTATAAACTTGCTTTATTATGTTGAAGTATGTCCTTTGTATTCCCAGTCTCTCTAGGACTTTTAATCATGAAAGGATGTTGGATTTTGTCAAAGTCTTTTCTGCATCTAATGAGATGATCATGTGACTTTGTATTTTCATCTGCTCACATGGTGAATAATTGTTGATTTACAGATGTTAAGCCATGCTTGCATTTCTGGGATGAAGTTGATTTAATCCTAGTAGAGAATCTTTTTGATGTGCTTTGGATGTGGTTTGCAAGTATTTTACTGAGAATCTTTGCAGCTGTGTTAATAAGGGTTATTGTTCTAAAATTTTCTCTTTTTGTTGGGTCTTGGTGTGGTTTTGGTAAGATGGTAATAGTAGTTTTGTAAAATAATTATGAAATGTTCCTCCAGTTTCTCACTTCCAGTATAATTTAAGGAATTTTGGCAGTAGTTTCCTATGAAGGTTTAGTAGAATTAAGCACTGCCATCTGGCCTTGGGCTTTTGCTTTGGTTGGGAGATTTTTATTACTGCTTCTATTTCACTAATGGTTATGGGTCTGTTTAAATTATTTATTTTATCTCAGTTTAACTTTAGTAGGACACACACACACACACACACACACACACACACACACACACACACACATCACACATACACATCCATTCACTTCTTTTAGGGTTTCCAGTTTGGTGGAGTGCAGATCTTTAAAATATGTCCTTGTGATTTTTGACTTCCCTTGGAGTCTGCTGTAATGTCTTTCTTTTATCTCTAACTTTATTAATTTTAATTTTCTCTGTCATTTGGTCAATTTCACTGAAGTTTTATTACTCTTACTGAACCAATTCTTCATTTTGTTTATTCTTGTATTTTTTTTTCTATTTCATTGATTTCAGCCTTGAATTTGATGATTTCTGCCCACTTCTTTAGTCATTACTTCTTCCTGTTGTCTATATCAAGAGGCCAGGTCCTGAGGGGATGGAGCTAGGAGGAGGAGCCTAGGTGGGCAGGTTGCAGGCAGAGACAAGGGTAAGTCCTGGAAGACTAGAATGGAGAACAGAAAGGAAGATAAAGGTCACCTACCTGGGTCCAAGGCAATTGTGGGTCAGTGAGAGTCACATAGAAACTGAGAAGGGCTAGAAGGAAAAGCTGAAAGGGGCAGCAGGGATGAACTATGGGAATCCTGGACCCACAGCAAAAGGCTGAGCCCAAGTGGATGGAGATAAGTCAGCATGACCTTACCTTAAGGCAGACTATCTCATAAAAGAGACAATTATATGGTGAAAATATCTATTTGACATCAGCAATCAAATTATACAGGAGCCCATAAACACCATATTATATGTATTACCAAGGGGGAATAGACTCTCCCCACACTTTGCCAATAAAACATATGGTAAGGGATAGCTCATGTGGCTCTGGGCACCAAATGATCCAGTTGAATCCTTAAAAGAATGAAATAAAAAAGGTATTTTGGCTAGTTTTAATGTCAACTTGATGCAGGCTAGTGCCATTGGGAAAGGGAACCTGTTGAGAAAATGCCTCCTGTGGGACATTTTCTTGATTAATGATTGATGGGCCCATCCCACAGGGAGTGGTGCCACACCTGAGTGGATTGTCCTGAACATTGTAAGAAAGCAGAGTGAGCAAAGCATAGGAAGCAAGCCAGCAAAAAGACTAGTCCATGACTTCTGCATCAGTTCCTGCCTCCAGGTTCCTTCCTGGAGTTCCGGCTCTGACATCTCTTCATCAGCTGAAATAAAACCTCCCCTCTCCACGTTGCTTTTGGTCATGATGTTTTATCATAGCAATAGACTCCTAAGACCGAAGAGAAAAGAGAAAACACAGACATAGAGCTCCCACCTTGAGATTTTTCTGTTTTTATTCAAGTGAAAATATATATAAGAAAATAACAACTATGAAAGACTTGATAACCAAACTACCTGCCAAATTGGTACAGTTGGTACCCTTTTCTTTTGTGATGAGTAAGCATACCCACTTCTCTTCAATGATGTTAATTTAAAAAGAACAGCAAAGACAGTGCTGGACAAAGTTGGGTAGTAGAGTCAACCCTGTGGTTTTCTCTGATAAGGGCTGCTTTTTCCACCCCTTTGTCTAGGAAGAGTGTATCAGCAAAGTCTAGCTTCATCAGACTCGGCCTTCTTGATCCTCCAGTTACAGTTAGAATTTTTTATGCAGTAAGTTTTATATTCTGAATGGTGACACTGACTTCCCTAAATTAGATGTAATTAAAACCTTAACACTAAATCATGTGTGTGTTTATGCAAGTGTGGGCACATATCCATGTGTATTGGTGGCCAGAGAGTATTGTCAAATGTCTTCCTCAATCATTCTCCATCTTACTGAGATAGGCTTTCTTGATGAACCTGGAGTTCATTGATTTGAATAGACTGGCTACAGGAACCATCCTACCTCTGTCTCCCCAGTACTGGGGTTAAAGATGCATATTGTCACACTTGACTTTTTATTTATGTGAGTGCTAGGGACTGAATTCAGATCCTCATGCTTGTGAGACATTTTACAGATTCAGCCATCGACTGCCTTGATCCCCTAAGGCATTTTTATCATATAATGCCTACTTTAGCTATAGTTTCCAGAAAATTACTCTCTCCTTTCTCTGCTACCCATGCTAAGTGAGTGGTACTATATCTGGCCTGAGGAATCAAGTACTTTTTGGTAGAAACTCCTTTCCTTTACTACATTATCTTCTCACAGATACATGGCTTGCTGAGGGGTATCCTGATCTGATGCTCCAGCATTTGTGAAATTCAAATAACAATTACAACTGTAACTGGTGGTTTCTTGAATGATATGGAAATGTTTATGCTTGGCTTTTTTTTTTACATTTTAAAATATAATCAAGCTATAATTTAAAAAATGTTGCACACAAGCTTCTGACAATACATATATAAACAACATGTTTATTGACAGGCCATTAGAGCAGTCAAATTCAGTTTATAAGTATTAAGACATTCAAAATGAAGTAATCAAAACTTCCAAGATTCATATTAGAATACAAACATGTAGTTGGGTTGACTATAAGACATAAAAGGGACAAACACTGAAATACAAAGGACCAGAGTTTCCCCAGGAAGTAACTTAAAGCAAATCCATTAGTGTGACTTCAGCTGCAAACTCGAGCCTCTGGAACCATAAGATGGATTCTGCTTAATGATATTCAGGGGTGAAAATGGCAGTTTCTGTAATATCTCAAGGTAAGAATGGAAGCAACGGAAGCGAAACCATAGATATTGAATCGTCACTGTAAGATGGACCAGAGAGCAGACTGCAACATCTAAGTCAGTAAAGCAAGGGTGATGAGATGTACTTAGTAATTCATAGCCACTACATTATGTACTTAAAAACACACAATAAATCCTGTTAATGTAAATAGAATGAAAGGGCTTGAGTGTACACAGGAGCAATGAGAGGACATGGGTGACGGGCTTGTCTAGATAGTTACTTAACATGTACCACCAGGTCCTTACAAGTATTGTCATCTTACTATTTATGTAATGTAGTTTTTTGAGAACATATATTTGCTAGATGGGAATGGGAGAAATCAGGCTCAGCTTTGCAAAACTCACTAGTCAGATTTTGGCCACCAAGTGAATTGTTTTATCTAAGCTTTGAGGACACTGAAAAGGTCTGAAGAACAGAAAAAAAATTTCTTAGAGATATATAATCATATCCTAAGGCTAGTAATATTTCAATGTATCATTTCTCATCTTTTACTTCCCCATTTTACCATTCTCAGTATCCTGTAGCCTTAAAAATCAACTAGATAGGACCACTGAGCTCCTGGGCAGTTACACTTGGTGTGTTCATTTCCTTCACTCTGTTTATCAGTCTGGCCTAAGAGGGTAAGTAGAATGGCTTCATTCCTTAGGGAAAGGCAAGTTCATCATCATTATGACTAGACTTTTCAACTTCATCTGATTTCTTACTGACTTTACCCCTCTACCTGACTCCTTGATATGGGTGACCTAGCACAGCTCCAGCAAACATTTTCTGTAAAGAGCCAAACAACAAATACTACAAGATTTAGGAGTTGATCTGCTATGGACCAAATATGTCCTTCCAAAATTCAAGTGTTGATATTTTATCTTTGAGAGGTGATTGGATCATGCCAGTAGAGTTCTTGTTAAGAGGGTCAGTATGCTTAGAAGCATCCGAAGAGACAACAGTTCTCCCTTCACCACAGGAGGATGAGGTACCTTCTGTGAACAAGGAAGTAGCCCCCCACCAGACCCAAACATGCTGGTGCCTTGGTCTCTAGTACCAAGTTTCAAGCCTGGTTTTGAATTTCTCTTGGGTTATAAGGTACAAATCTGTTGTCTATACCTATTCATGTTTATGAAATTGCTTACAGCAGACATAATCTCTGATCATATTCCATTCTGACGCTGCACACAAAAGCAGCCAAATAACATGTAAACACTGAGTGTAGTTGAATTTCAATATGACTTATAGGAATAGGTGGTGGCTAGACTTGGTCAAGAATCCCAAATCTAGCTTGCCAGATCCTGCTCTAATAGATGAAACACTGACAAGTAATGAAAGAGTTGGGTGCGTTTCCTTGAATCAGCCATTCTAGTCTGACTTCAAACTTTGTGCTGGCTAGTTTTATGTCAACTTGACACAAGTTAGAGCCATTTGACAGGAGGGAAACTCAGTGGAGAAAATGCCTCTATAAGATCAAGCTGCAAGACATTTTTTAAAATTAGTGATTGATGTGTGAGGGCCCAGCACACCATGGGTGGTGACATCCCTAGATAGGTGGTTCTGGGTTCTATAAGAAAGCAGGCTGAGCAAATCATGGGAGCAAGCCAGTAAGTAGTGCCCTCCATGGCCTCTGCATCAGCTCCTGCCTCTAGGATCCTACCCTGTTTGAATTCCTGTCCTGACTTCCTTCAATGTGGACTACAATGTGGAAGTGTAAGTCAAATAAACCCTTTCCTCCCCAAGCTGCGTTTGATCATGGTGCTTCATTACAGCAATAGAAACCTTAAACAAGGCAGACTCTAAGCCTTTCCACCCAACTTAACCTCCTTAAGTGAGTTTCTGTTCATTCCAAAATGTCTTTATGAAGAGTTCTTTACCCTTACTTTTCACGATCTCCATTGCTACTGAATTTATACTCATTCACCCATCAATCAGTGCTTTCCACTACCACATCCTTTAAACTAGCCCCTCACAGCTTCTTTTAGTCATACAATGCAAAGTGTACTAAAATAAATAATAGATGGAGGGCAAGAGCATGGACTAGGAGGGAAGGGCCCAAGGGATGAGAAACTACAAAACTGTGATTAGTTTTTCCTATAAGTTTTCTATATTTTCTTCTCATAAAACTTGTAATACAGAAAAAAATAATAAAAAGTCGACGTTGAATGCTAAGTGGTGGTGGCATACACCTTTAATCCCAGCACTCAGGAGGCGGGGCAGGCAGATCTCAGTGAGTTCAAGGCCAGGATGGTCTACAAAGGGAGTTCCAGGACAGCCAGGAGTGTTACACAGAGGAAACCCTGTGTTGAAAAACCAACCAAACAACAACAACAAAAATAAAAAATCCTGGCATTGTGTACTTATTTGAGCTTTTGTTCTTGTGTTTCTTATCCTCTCACTGATTTTTGGTCACCTCTGTCACATTAATAACATTAATAGATCAATATGATTTCATCATGTTTACTCAAGAGGTGAGGGATAAAGACCAACTAATATATGGAAGAATAACATGTGAGTAAAACATGAAAGCCAGATAAATGGAAGAATAAAAGATGTTTATCTTTAGGTAGGTCACTTCAGGGCTGTCCCATGTGCCTTCCCCGTGCCTGACAGGAAAGTATGCTACTGTGCTCCATAGTTGCTTCAGCTCTTTTCTTCAATGGGACCCCAAATAAAATAATTCATTGGCCCCTGTCAACTTTTCAGACATATTCTAATTGCAATACACTTAGGGAGTTTTCTAAAAGTGACAGAGCATAGTTTACCGAAAGCTGAGCAATGCAGTAGAATGAACTCTCCCTGATGTTCTGACTATAAAAACAAACAAACAAACAAACAAACAAACAAAAAACCAAGAAAACCAAGGGCTCAAACAGTGCCCAAGATGGGAAAAGAGGACACTGGCAAACAAAAGCCAAGTGAAGACTCTAATCCATTAAGTACTTTAGGCTAACTCCAAGGGAACCAAAAAATTGAATCTTCAAAACAAAGGGATAACAACGTGATTAATGTGAATCAGTGACCAATATTGCTCATGTAATATTATACATACATTTTAGTTATATTCATCAAATTAGCCAGCACTTTGTAGAGTCTGGAATCTTAAGCAACTTTTACCTCTTACCCTTTACTTTCCAGCACATAAATTACTAAGGAAATGATAACATATGTCTGTCTTGGAGTTCAGAGTAATGACTTTGTGTCTTCCCAATGATAAGGCTGTATGTAAGTCTCAAGCCTAACCTACAAAATAAGATATCCTTACTAAATGAAAGGCTCTTACAAAGCATGGGGAAACCAGATCTCACAATGGTCACAGCACTACTGTCTCCCAAACATTCCCTGAATTAAAAAAAAATGGGTATTTGAAAAATTGGAAATAAAAAATTTGAGATATATAGCCAGAGTTTTAAAAAATTGGGTATTTGGAAAACTGGGAACAAAAAATTTCGTGATCTCAAGCCAGTGGTTTTCATTATCTGTTGTTCAAAGTTATACACTGGACAAGTGAAATCATACACATATACAAATGCTCCCAAGGGTCCCATTATGGGCCTTCTATTTAAGCATTCAAATGTTAAACACAGTGATAAAGCCAACTTACATGTCTTAACACTCAGCATGCTTTCAGGGTTGCTGTTCCATGTGAATTCTTTGATGTCGGATAAGAGATGAACTACACTTAAAGCTCTTCCCACATTCATTACATCTAAAAGGTTTCTCTCCAGTGTGAGTTCTCTGGTGTTGAATAAGAGCCGAAGAATGAATGAAGGCTTTCCCACATTCATTACATTTGTAGGGTTTCTTTCCAATATGAATTCTTTGATGTTTAGCAAAATTTGAGCTCCGGCTAAATGTTTTCCCACATTCATTACATTCATAGGGCTTTTCTCCAGTGTGAATTCTCTGGTGCTGAACAAGATGTGTGCT